AAGCTGGTTCCTCCCTTGTCAACCTCTGCAGTCTCTCAGTCTCCCATTGCTCTTCAGTTGAGCAAAACAGTGATAACTTTCCCTCTGTGTCAGGGATGCTGGCACATGCCACCTCATGGGATCCTTTTTACCACATCCAGACCAGGCTTCAGAGACTCATCTTCTACCACACACAGACACTTACTGTACTCAAACTTACCTGCAGGCCAATGATTCACACAAATTAGACCCTGGATTTGCTGTTGAGTTCATTTCCCCTTGCCAACTCAGTGATCTGCTCCCTACCTGGAAGGTGTCCTGGAAAACAGTTCAGACACTACACCTCAACCAGTGCTTCACACTGCACCAGGGGCTGTCATCAAGAGATCCATGATGATCAAGGTTTCCTTGTAAGTCTGACCCCAATTGTGGGCATTGGTCATAGAGAAGTCCAGTGTTGTGGCCTTGAAAAGACAACAACCCAGGATCAGGCTTGGCAAAGCCTACTTACCTTCCCACATTGGAGCAGAACAATGTTAATGTAAGATCAAATGTCAGTTATAAATCCCTCCAGAGATGGAAAAAAATGATGTAAGACTCTTGGATCAGGAGGTGCTAGACAGCAATCGAATCCTGGATGAAGGAGGCTATGGAGACAAAGACATAGACATCATCAGATCTGCCAAAGGACATGTCAGAAAGGAGCGGCAGAGGACTCCACTGCATGATGGAGCCACCCTTCTCTTCTGCCAGACCCTTCTTCAGTAGCCCAGAATGGAAGCACCTTTCCAAAGCAGCCTCATACTTCACTACATTGACTTATACCAGGAACCATCAGAGCAGGGTCTTTCCTCCTAATGGCTGGCAATAAACCCAAGGTCACACTCTGCTCTGTTTGAGACATTTGTTCCTGGTCTCACATTTCAAGACCCCTGTCCCATGAAAATCTCCTTTTCTCCTGACTCATTTCAGGTAAGCTCCTCTGGACAGACTCTACCCTCTCTCTACGGGTCCTCTCATATCCTCTCCATCCTCTCCACTTCCTTTCTCCTCTTCCTCCCCCTTATCTCCATTCTCCCATCTCCCACTGGATTTACAGTTACTGCAGTTCTTCTGAAAGACAGTCAGAAAGCAGTTTGGAGGTGATGAGTGATTCAAAGATGAGGGAAGCCTGAGACCTGTGTGCCAGTCTGTCCTGTTGACAGAGGCAGCCCTTTTAGATGCCATGGACCCTGGCACCACAGGAACCATGAGGGATGTAGACATTCATTGGGTCGATGATACATGTGACTACTTAGGGATGTTCAACAACAGTGCGGGGGCAGCAGTGAGGTGAAGGATGGGGAGGATGGCAGCTGAGACCCTAACCTGGAGGATGGATACTGGAACCTGTAGCCCTAACATATCATCACACAGTACACAGATTTCCAACCTGGATCCTTCCTGTTGCACTAAACCACACCAAGACTCTAATTCAATTCACTTTCCCCAAATAAAACCCAAAAGAATAAAGAAAGTGCCTCTTTTAGTGAGACTTTAACAGACAAGACTTACTCAGTGCTGAGGAGGATGGGACTCCACTGACCAATAGTGCTGCACTTTTCTCCTGCTATACCCCAGCTCTGTAGGAAAGAACAGGATGTTATTTCCAAGACAACATCCTACTTGTGTGCCTTGACACATGCTAGGAACCATCAGAGCAGGCCCTCTCCTCCTCATTGCTGGCTATTCCTAGCTCCCTCCCACTCTGCACTTCGGGGGAGATTTGTTCCTGCTGTAGACTGTGCACGGCCCCTGTCACAGGTCAGCACACACATCTCTTTCATGTTACTTTGTTGACAGGAAGTTCCTCAGGACAGACTCTACTCCGTATTCTACACCACCTCTCATGTCCTCTATTCCTGTCTCAAAATTGTTCCCCAATTAGTCCTCTTTATCTCCTTTCACCCACCTCCATTTTACAGAGGATTTACACAGGTCTTCCTGTTTTGTCCAAAAGGCAGTCGCAGAGTAAGTTGGAGGGTTAAAGTGACCAAGGTGATGAGCAGCCGTGATTGGTATGAAGTCCTTCCTGGTTGTAGAGGCTGCTGTTTTCCATGCAGTGTGAGTGGTCCTACAAGCACAACCAAAGCTAGGAAGGTAGAGGGTCATGGGGTCCAAACACCTTATGACCCCCAATTGTCCCACAACAGTTCTGAAGCTGGATTAAGCTGAAAGAGATGCAAAGTGGCAGCTCAGACCCAATAGCTGGAGGATGAATGCAGGCAGGAGCCTGTTGCCCTGGGTTGGAGGGAACTGGCACTCTGGAGATGAGTTCTGGCTCGCTTCTGTGGCAGTCACTCCTCACCAGGTCTGGAATTCTATTGGGCCATTTCAGTTTCCACACTTCAAAGGAGAAAGAAACGTGAAAGCACCTCTATTAGTGACTTTGACAGATAAATTTCTGTGCTATATTTCCCTTCCTGATTCCTCCATTCTGAACCTTTAACCCCTTTAGAAAAACTCTCCTCCCTTCCTTCCCACCCTGTCATCCCCATTTTAGGCTATCTGCTTTTGCCTCAACCTTCCAGGACTTTACATGAACAGGAAGTTGTGAATTTGCCATCTAATGTACTACATATCAAATTCTGGGCCTTCTGAGTGGGTATAATGATATTAAAATGGCATATTGAAAAGACAACATAGGAATTCATCTGTGTGGCCCAACCAACTGTTCTCCATATAGGTCTCCACTGTCCTCTCTTTCCTT